GGAATGAGAGCAGGCTTGGAAGGAATGAGATCCAGCATTAGAAGAGAAAGATATATCTTTCCCTCTGACTTGGTTTCCCCATGCAAGGAAGAGGAAGTGGGTGGATACAGCATATATTAGGACATCAGGAGAACAGGTAAGGAAGCATTCCTCTGATGACCTCAGAGTGAATGAATGGATGAATGAAAGCGACAGGCTGTCATGAGCAAGTAAGGGAGAAACCCGGATGTTACAGGCAACCTAAAGAGAGAAGATCCGGAACTGATCTGAGGACTGAGCCAGAGTCCAGAAGAGCAGAGGCCAGGGGCTAGATGGAGCGGGTGAGCATCCACTTCTGCTGGCCAGGCCGGCTTACCTGGGGACTTTCTTCAGAAATTCTGTGCTGCAGGAGGTGACAGCAGATTGAAGTGACAGCGTAGTGGGTGGGTTCTTCAAAAGCTGAGGAGGAGTGAGAAGCCTCGTGTGTGCACCAAAAACATAAATAAAGGCTAAATGGGAGATTTCTGAGTGGAGGGTGTGTTTAAAGGGCTCCAAGGAGGGGACTAACACATGGTGAAACGGCAGATGCCGAACCCTTGAAGATTTCAGGTTTGGGGGATTTGCGAATCGCAAAAGCAGCAAGAAAGGAGAAGGGGATCCAAGGGGCACTTGGGGTCTTAGGGATGTTGCTCATTTAACACAGTTGTTGGCATTAAAGAACTTCCAGGAAATGCCAACAGTTTGATAGCTTTGAACAGCCCTAGGAGTGACTCAGCCAGACTGTTCATATAAGAATTCCTCCCTCATTCCTCCTTGTCTGCTGTCCTCCTCCTCAAACAAGCTGCTTCCAAATATCTCAGGCAACATTTGCTTATCTTCACAACCTTCCTTATTTTAACTCAAGCAACATGGACTTATCTTCATGACCTTCCTTAAGTGCAGAGCCCTCTGACCTTCCATCTGTTTGTTCCCCTTCATTTAGTTTAGCCTTCGCGAACTACCACTTTTCCTGCAGCCTTCTCCTCCTCTTGCTGGTCCATTACCGCCAGCTCCTTCCTCTTTTTCTCCCCATCCCTTTCTTCTCTCCTGCTTCCTCAGGGAGATGTAGAGTTTTAGCCCTTCACAGCCAGAGTGACGCACAGCTGCTCCTTCCAGGCTAGCTCTGTCTTCAGCTTCATGGCGGAAACCTGACCGTTAAGTCCAGATCCTTGGCCAAGAACTCTGAAGAGTCAGCCTCATTTGTGAGCTCCAAGACAGGCAGCTTTGAGAAGCTGAGAAAGTGCAGATCCCCGTCTTGCTCCTCTCCCTGGAGTTTCATGAGCTCTCATGCCTGCTTGGCCTTTGCTTCTGAGGAATCTGGAGTGATTTGCCATTCCCACGGGAGCCTCAAACAGTCTATGTCTGACTTAGATCTGATTTAGACCCTTTAGTTCTTTCTACAAGGGAGTTAGTGACATGGGGAAGTTCAAGGCTGAGTGGGGTCTGTGCGCATGATCTGCACATCAGCTGCAGCCCCTCAGGCCTTCCTAGGGTCCCTTCTTCCCAGGGCGCTAATGGCCAATGATGACTGGGTCGGAGACAATGGGGCATACATACACATGTATTCCAGACTGTTGTTCTAGGATTGAGCCCCTTCAGTGGCTGAGAAATAAATTAATCTATAATTGCCCAAGAAGGCTTCTAAAAGTTACCGTATCTTTTACTTTCGTCACGGCTGAAGAGGTTTCATTCAAAGGTTTCATCACTTTGGTTTCATTCAAACTGATTAGAATCTGTATGAAATCAAGAGAGAAAGGTGTTTCTGCAATTAGAATGACACTTTACAGGAAGTCCAACAACCAGCTTAGGTATGCTGGAGTTCATCATGCAGAGCTGTGGTTGGACCACGGCAATGCTACAAAAGCTTCACAGCTCAAGTGATCATTCAGGAATGTCCCAGCAGATGCAGACTCAGAGACAGGATTCAAAAGGAAGCCTCAATGTGAATGCACAAGGCAAAGGATTTTGAATAGTTTTAATTTGCTTCAGATTTTTGTAGCAGTCTTGGCTCAAGTAAACTGTAATGCTGTGCTTCTGGTGGTGACTTGGCAAAAACTCTGTGAAATGATGTGTTTTCTTCATCTCTATCATCTAGACTTCTTGGACAACATCCCCTGCAGGGGCCATTGCTATTGCTGAATGCATAAGGGTGGGGGAGCCAAGCCTAGGGGCTATCTAGGCAGAGGGATCTTTTCTACTTAAGCAAAAGTTAGGTGAATAAGGTCAATATCATGGGAGCCTATGACTTAGAGGGAGGTGAAGTTATTTCTGTTTTCATTTCTATGCATACAGAGTTCTGTATATATTGTGTATCTGTAATTCATTCTTACAGTAATTGTAGCTGTCATTTCATCTTTTAGATCCAGTCACCCGGGCTTGTCATAACAGGTGCTAAAAATGCACAAGATAAAAGAAGCAGGAAGTGAAACCGAAAAATGGTTCTGTGCATCTGGCAGGTGGGGTATGTAGACAGACAGACATCAGAGGATACCCGGGGTTCTCTTCATTTCACCAGTAGAGAACAACCTGGATGACTTACTATGCAATTGTATCTGTTCCTTTTAAGCAACAGTTCAGAGACTATGAAAGCAGCACTGATCATATCCTGTGGTTTACTAGGAGGCACATAATCCCAGGTTCAGAAAGCAAGAAATGGGACTAAATGAAGAGAAACCAACATCACAAAGAGAATCCCAAACCCGTGAAGAAAGAACAAGCTCCTATATTAAAAGTTTATATAACTGCTGGCCGGGTGCGGTGGCTCAAGCCTGTAATCCCAGCACTTTGGGAGGCTGAGGCGGGTGGATCACGAGGTCAAGAGATCGAGACCGTCCTGGTCAACATGGTGAAACCCTGTCTCTACTAAAAATAAAAAAATTAGCTGGGCATGGTGGCGCGTGCCTGTAATCCCAGCTACTCAGGAGGCTGAGGCAGGAGAATTGCCTGAACCCAGGAGGCGGAGGTTGCGGTGAGCCGAGATCGTGCCATCGCACTCCAGCCTGGGTAACAAGAGTGAAACTCCGTCTCAAAAAAAAAAATAATAATTATATAACTGCTTAGATGTAAAAATTTATATAACTGCTTAGATTTGAGTTTTCATTGAGGGTTGGTTCTCAGGTCACTTTGCTGGAAGAAACTTAGGGGAATGGATCCCATTGTGATAATACTTGACATTTGGGTGGACGGTGCTTTTGGTTTTGACAAAGCACTCTTTTTGGCCTTATTTAGAACTGCTCTTAGATTTACTGCAGAATCATATGTTATGAGAATGTCATATATTCAAGATAATAATCTATGTGGATACAGGGGGTTGCTATAATTTTATCATAATAGATGGACTGAATTCTGGGTGTATTCAGTCCATCTATTATGAAGGACCTGCTCATGAATGAATGAGATTTCAGATTTTGTAGCATTACTTCTTAAGTGAAGGGGAAAGCATAGAGAAAAAGGAACATTCATGAGCATTCTCTAAGACTCAGCAAAGGATAGAAAGGAAACGCCAACCCCTCCACGAAACAGTCTATGTCATGCAAATTTGAAATTAGGCTGAGCTCAATCTGAAATGGTTGACCTTAAACACGGCTAGAAAGAAGTAGCAAAGATGCTCTCTCTCTTTTTTTTTTTTTTTGAGACGGAGTCTTGCTCTGTTGCCAGGCTGGAGTGCAGTGGTGCAACCTCGGCTCACTGCAACCTCCACCTCCCGGGTTCAACCGATTCTTCAGCTTCAGCCTCCTGAGTAGCTGGGACCACAGGCGCCTGCCACCACGCCCGGCTAATTTTTTTCTATTTTTAGTAGAGACGGGGTTTCACTGTGTTGGCCAGGATGGTCTCGATCTCCTGACCTTGTGATCCGCCTGCCTAGGGCCTCCCAGAGTGCTAGGATCACAGGCAGGAGTCCCCGCACCCGGCAGCAAAGATGCTCTTTTAAATGGTCAGTGTTGGGCACTGTGGCTCATGCCTCTGATCCCAGCACTTTAGGAGACTGAGGCAGGCAGATCACTTGAGTCCAGGAGTTTGAGACCAACCTGGGTAACATGATGAAACTCCATCTCTAAAAAATACAGAAAAAAAAAAATTAGCGGCTGTAGTGGCCTGTGCCTGTAGTTCCAGCAACCCAAGGGCCTGAAGTGGTAGGATTGCTTGAGCCACAGGAGGTAGAGGGTTCAGTGAGCCTGATTGTGCCATCGCACTCCAGCCTGGGTGACAGAGTAAGACTCTGTCTCAAAAAAAAATCTTTCAGTGCTTGGCGTGAAGTATTAGGTTGTATTAGGTTACAGTGTTAAAATACTAGAGAATTCTCAAATTTGCTCCCCCAATCTATGAGCTATGTTCTCAACTTCTTGTTGTCCACACTAGCTCTGGACACTCATAGACATATCTAAAGGCCGTAGGTAGGTTACTTCCCTTTCATTTCCACATTTCCAAAATGAGGGTTTGAACCAGATGGCTTTGAAGTGCCTCCAATTCTCAAATGTGTTGGTTTTCAATCAGAATTGTAGGTTCATTGATTTCCATTGTTCAGCTTCATGGATGCTGACTCACGAATGGCCTCCCCCAGCACACGCACAAACACAACAGACACACATACCCTTCTACCTTGTATGTACCCACTCATGCTTCAGATCCCACAAACCGATCAGGCGCCTAAATTAAGAGCAGGCCATTATTAATACCCATTTTTTTTTCAGAATAAAGCAATATTTCCGTTCACTCTCCCTCTCTCTCTTCCTCTTTCTTTCTCTCCTTTACTCATTTTTTTTTTCTTTCCTTCTCTCAAAAAAAGAAATCGACTTGTAAACCTCTAGATCCAGGTCGGCAATGTCTCTCTCATTGCTTGAATTCCTTCCTTCTCTTCCCTCCCTCCCTCCCTCCCTTCCTCCCCCCTTCCTCCCTTCCTTCCTTCCTCCCTTCCTCCTTCCCTCCCTTAAAAAAAAAAAAAAGAGAGAGCAGGGTATAAAAAACAGGCAAAGAGCTGGAACTGTATTTTCTTTTAAATCTTTATTTATCCTTTTCATTCCTTTATCCCACCAATGCAAACTGCGGAGAATAGCTAGAAGCCACGTAGGAGTGGCACAGGCCAGCTGGCTGAGTGATGCTGACCGCTGGCCCCAAGCATCCAGCATCACAGAGGTCACAATGGGAATCAGCTCGGAGCAGCAGACACAGAGCCGCTAGAGGCCCGCAGGGAGAGCCACCTCCCAGCTCCCACAGGAGTTTGGCCTTAAAACCACTACGAAGAGTTGCATTCATTGTCCTTTTTTCCTTTAATAATAAAAAAGAAAACCAAAACCTCCTATAATTTATAAGCTATGTTTGACTATCTACATTATATAGAAAATATAGACTCTGTTTACTTTATAACACACATCTTTTTCCCTTGATAAATAACTCTTTAAAATATCTAGTGTACATGCCTTGACTTCTTATATATAAATTTGGTTTTATACATATACATACATATATACTCATGTTTGTAAAACACAATAAATATATACTAGACAATGACAGCCAAACAAATGCCGTTTTGGGTAAAAAAACACAACAACAACAATAAAAAACAGATGAAGTCCCGTAAAAGCACCAGGCAGCAGACAGAAAGCCGTAATTGCTAGAAACTTCTCCCTCCCTGGGCAAGGCACAGGGCAGAATACTAAACACGTCCAGGTGCCTGAAAGAAGGCGGCAAATGAACGGGTCAGGTCACAAGCTTTTGATTTGTTTCTTAACCTGGGATTAGACCAAGAATCACACATAAGTCATAGTGTTTCTAAGGAAAAACCAAGGGGCTCATTCAACAGCTTAGCCCTTGTGGTGGCTACAGGGGACAGCAGAGACCTGGAAGGGGAAGAAGGAGAGAGAGACAGTGACCTTGTGACAACTCCATGACTATTTTGTAGCCCCTGACTCCATCTGCCCAGGCAAGCTTTTGATTGCCACACTGAGCATCAAGCCATTGCTTAAAGCATGTTCCTTTCATTACCCTATTCACTGCTGGTGTAAACAGGACTCAGTAGTGCAACACTTCAGGAAGCTGAATGAGAGCCACCTGTTTTCGTGGCCCCTCAAGGGCTCCAGCAAATGGGGACTGTGACATCGGGGAGAAAAAGGCCGGAGGGTCATTGCCTTTCCCTCCCGAGACAGTACCCAGACTCCAATGGGAACACCGAGTCTGTCTCCTTTTAAAGAAGCACAGGAGCTCTTGACTCCTCTTATGAGAAGGCCCAGAAGCCCCAGTCAGTCTGGGTAGGTGTCCCCTGAAACTCAGAGCACAGTCCAGCTCCTGTGCCTGGTGGGGAAAAGATGGAGGGGCGGGCCTGCCTGCCGCTGAGTGAAATAATGCAGCAGTTGCACACCGCTTTTTTTACATGGCCCTCCTCTCCGATTGTTGATTTTTAAACAAGCTCCCTAATGTCATGGCCTCTGTCCTATAAACTCCAAGGCTCTGATGGCCAAAGAAAGCAGGCGGTGGTGGAGCAGTAGGCGTGCTCATGGCTAGATTTGTTTTAATGTCTAGGAGTTGGGTGGGGATACGGGTGGAGGGGGATCCCAATAGAGCAAGTCTCAGGAAATCCCAGAGGTGAAGATCTGAATGCATATCCCCTATTCTTGCCAAATAAAATACAAGTTAGACATCATGGTTCACATTACAGTCACAATGAGAAATTTTAAACAGCTCATTTTCTGAGTACATTCGAGACATAACTGAGTTTACTTTAAAAACTGGATTTCCCTGCAACAGCTTAGGGAATCCATTCCAATGGAGGTTTCCGTTCTAATTCCAACTCCTTCACCCACTAGCCACAGGACCTCAGACAAGTCACTTTACCTCTCTGAGCACCCTTTCCCCAGAGCTCTGGAGGTGCTGTGTGAGGCAGCAGGAGACTTAAAAGAGGCAGAAAACCTGACTTCTTGTGCTGGCTCTACCGCTAAAGATGGGGGTGGCCTTGACCATCACTCTCTGTTATAGAAAACAAAGGGACGGCACATATTGGACTGCGAAGCCCCTTCAGATGCAACTGAATTTCCTTTCTGCCCAGAAAATCATTGACAAAGCTGATTCTGCCTCAAGTACCCACCAGAATGCAAGAGATCAGATCAGAAACCCAACTTAGGACCACTAAATTCAATAGCTGTGGCTCTGAGACAAGATGAAGAGAGTAAGAGTGCACAGTGCACAGCTAAAATTTGAGTCACAAACAAACGAACTTTAAAGCCCCAGTCCCCGAGAAAGGACATTTTCCTATGTTACATTCAGACCCCCACGAACAAATTCCAAGGCCATCTATAATAGTCAGCCAACAAGATTTTGAAAATACCCAGGCCTGAGGCTTGCTGCATCACCTACGATCAAAATCAACTTAGGAAGTCAATTTTAAAAGAGGCGGAGTGATATTTCCATTTGGGGAGGGGAAGAAACACCGGCTACTTCCCTGTGCAGCTCTCTAAGCTCCTGGCAGAACATCAGATGTTACATGCTGCTGAACAGGAGAATGCTGACGGCAGGCTGGGTGAAGCTGGAGGCCAGTCCATGCTTGTCACAGTCCTTCCTGGGTGTGACAGCAGACCCCTGAAGAAGTTGATAAGGAGCGCTTTCCTGCCTGGTGGGAACAGGAGGTGCCCCACATCTCTTCTTGGGAGGCAGTGTGGTCTGCAGAAGATTTTGGATTTGAATGAGCCCATTTCTGCCTAACTTGTCTTGTGTGACTTTGGACAAGTTCCTCTTCCTCTTCCTGCCTCCATTTTCCCATGTGTCTAAAAGAAATAGTAATACCCAACGCTATAGGACTGTTTTCAAGTATTGCATGAGATCACATACCGAAAATACTCTGCGCACAGTGGACAAGTCCTGGAGTTGGCCAAGACTACCCAAGAGTCCAGATACACCTGGCGCAGTGGTATTTGCTGCCATGTAGGCTGAGGTGGGCCTGGGGTGCCCTATGGTACAATTCTCTGTTGAGGGGAGAAGTCCTGGAGGATCTGACGGTGATTAGATTCTAAACTTTTGAATAGGCACAGGGCACTCCCAAACATTTTTAGATACCAGGTAAGAGCCCTGACCCACACCCTCCCTCAGGACTTGGAACCTAGGGGCACCCATACATGGATGGGAACAAAACAGGCAAGTGGGAACTAACTGGGAAGACTCTTAAAGCACTGCCTCCTGACATCAAAGCCCTTGAAACACATTAAACAAAGCAGAAAGGAGCCGAAATATTGCTGGGTGCTAGTTCTAGGTCAAAGTCAGCTAAGGGTACCCGAACCCCTAAGGGTGCTGGGCTGAAACAAAGTCCTTCTGCAGAATGCTGTCGAAGGCCAGAGATTTCAGCGTCAACCTCCCACCCCCAATCAAGTCTTTGCATGTGGTGGGTTAAGGGCAAATGGAGCACTAAAGAAGTATCTCAGCCGGCTGCGGTGGCTCACACCTGTAATCCCAGCACTTTGGGAGGCTGAGGTAGGTGGATCACCTGAGGTCGGGAGTTCGAGACCAGCCTGACCAAGATGGAGAAACCCCATCTCTACTAAAAGTACAAAATTAGCCGGCGTGGTGGCACATGCCTGTAATCCCAGCTACCCGGGAGACTGAGGCAGGAGAATCGCTTGAATCTGGGAGGCAGAGATTGCAGTGAGCCGAGATCGAGCCATTGTACTCTAGCTGGGGCAACAAGAGCAAAACTCTGTCTCAAAAAAAAAAAAAAAGTATCTCAAACCCATTTGCTATAATTTTTATATTTAAAGAAAATGAACTATCTAGCTCTTTTCTTTCTCTTGTTCCTTCATCTACCTACTACATGCACTTCAGTGGATAAAATTTGAATACACTTATTAAAATATTTTTTCATGCTTCTTTTAAAGAATATATGTTCTTTCTATATACCCAGCCTCAAATGAGAATTTTTGTTTTAGATACTAAATATTTATTACAGAGCTTAGAGGCCTTTATGGGGACCTCTCCCCCAAACCCCAAGTATTATGATTTAGTACAGAAATACACAATTGAAACTCCAGAAATATCCCTATTTAGGTTATGAATGACTTAGAAAAATGAAACCCGTTGAGTCATTTCACTTGCTTTCCCTTCATCCCTAATCAAAGCCCTTCAGGCTAGCTAGAAAAAAATAATAATTCCAATGTTTCCACAAAAACTACTTTCCCAGAGAGCAATTTAGAAGAACGAGAACCAAAACAGTCCATGACGTGGCCCTCTGTTCAAACCATTATTGGGAGACTTCCATTCCAGTAAATCTCCAGTTTGGAACTGAGAGCGGCAAGAGCAGGAATGCTGACCCCGAAGTCTGTCGGCAACAGGTGAGGGACCAAATGAACCAGGCATGGGGTTTCAGCCGACCGACCCTGTAGTGCTGCAGCAAAGCCCCAGGAAGCAGGGCGACTCTTTCCAGAAAGGCAATACTTACTTCTCTGTGCTAGAAAATGCCCAACATTCCCCTGGTGTTTGGACACACTATACTTTCATCTATGAGTAGCCTGGGCTTCAAAGTATATTGACCCTATGGAGGGCAATGAAGGATGCCACTGATTGTGCTGTTCATTCTCGGATTTTGCCTACTAAGGCTGGGGGTGGACTCCAGGCCTCTTAGATTCCCTTCTAGTTCTAATGCCAGCTATCTGAAAAGAACTCTAAACCTCAGCTGCAGGTAAAGACACCTGTTGGACTTCAGCGAGCCTGTGAACAAAAGCTACATAGACTTATGAGGAATGGCTTCCACGTTCACCCTTGACAAATGTCTTACTTGGGGTGAAGGATTAAGCAAAGATAACAAAGGATAATTCCCTGTTCTCTCAATGTGCTTGACTTGATCTTTCTTTCAAGACCAGATCTGAATTTTTAAGAATGATTTCAGTGACATTTGATGGTAGCAAGCATTCACAAATCTCTCTCTCTCTGTGTGTGTGTGTGTGTGTGTATGTGTGTTCCCTTTTGGCACTGCCTGCTCCAAGCCTGCAGTCAGCATCTCTAACAAAAGCTCTGTAAGCAGAGTGTGCAAAGACAAGAGAGACAGGAGATCAATTAGATGAACATGTTTTTTTCCAACATGAGCCTTCTCAATGCTAAGTATGGCCCCTTAGAAACACTAGAAATAATGTTCCTTGTTGTCCTTTTGTTTTGGTTAGTTTAGTACCTACCCCTAAATTCTCTGGTGTCAGAATCCTGAAAGCAAATGCTGGAGCTAAGAAAAATACTTTTTTTTTTTTTCTTAAAGAAAAGAGGATTCTGATTGGAACTGAAGTCTTCCTTTTAAAATCCACAAAGCTGGATGAATCTCCTAAACACTCTTGCCAGCTTGGTAGGAGAGATGGGTGATGGAGCCCTGAACACCTCCCTGGCTAGTCGCACTTTACCTTGTTAGGGAATTCACACTGCAACACTGAGGCACACAGCGGTCCCCAGTCTTTGGGGGCAGCATATGAGCTTATGGTCAAACGCATACTTGTGCTGGCTTCTTGGCACTGCCTGGAGAGCCATGTGGCCGGGCTACCTTAACACCGCAGTAACCCCTGTGACACTCAATTTCACCTTTACTGGAAATAAAGTTATAAGGTGACTCTGCAGTTTTTAAATTGTTGACAAGTTCAAAGAAGCAATTTTATTCTCTGCTCCCCCTGTTGTGGTGCAATCTGAGCTCTTTCCTTGTGGCTTCCGAGAGTTCTGCTTTCTGCTTGCTATTTCTGACCTCTCTCCACCAGGTGAAGGGCAATGAACCAAGTGTGAAGACACATCCTCAGTGCTTCCTATGAGGAAGCCCAATCAATCAAAAGCTGGCCACTTGGCTACTAAGTACTTTTGCCTTCAGATACCTTACATTCAATAAAAAGCAGCTTCCTGAAATCTGAACTTTCCCAACAGCCCATCCCACCCCCCAATCCCAGCCTAACGGGCTTCTGCAGACTGTGAAAATGAGCCTTCTCCTGCCAGCGGTGGGCATCCCGGGCACTGGGTTTGCATCTGATACTGGTGCCTTGACCTTGCAGGAGCACTTGGCTTGCAAGAGGCCAAGGTGTGTGAGGGGTGGATGAGGTAGGGAGGGAAGCAACCCCTCCTTGCTTGTTACAGTAAAGCGCAGCAGAGGCAGCTAAACCAAACCACTCTGGTGCAAATACCCAGCAGGGGTCATCCCGGGAATGGCAGGCCCTCCTGAATGCTTCCAGGCTACAAGCTCAGCCCACCAACAGTCTGGTTTGGGGTGGTCCCCGGGACTGGAGTTTACCTTCCCAGATGCCATTTATTCACACTGTCCCTCTACCTCCCCTATCCGCACATTGCCCATGGCCACCGTCTCCTTCCCCTCTCTGTGGATATCCCCTGCAGAAGGCTCAAGTCCCCGAGGTCCCCAGTCTGTGCTAACAGTAGAGGGACATCCTGCTGCGGCGCATAGCCTCGCTGATCAGGTAGGCGGGGCTCAGCTCCGGCTCCTCGGTCATGATGGCAATGTTCTGCCACTCGCCTGTCTGGCTGGACCTCTTGATGGTGTCCACCACGCACAAGGCATACAGGCAGTCATCGAAGGTGGCCGCCATGGTGAGAGGCCGCCCGTCCCACGTGCGCCGGTCGTCCTGGTCCTGGAAGGCCTGGCGCACCGCCTGCATCATCTTGATGGTGCCGCGCAGGTAGGGCGAGGGGATGTCGCTGAAGGCCTTCTCGGGCAGCAGGGAGTTGCTCACCGGCGTGGCGTCCTGCACCAGCAGTTCCTGCTCCGGGGCGCTGTTGCGCTGCCCATACAGGTCTGTGCCCACGGCCAGCAGGCGCCCGGCGGAGCCCACCACAGTGACGTCCTGCTTGAACTCGCCAGGCACGTTGAAGTTGAGGGTTACCGTGCAGCACACCCCACCCTCCAGCACCATCTGGAAGGTGCAGAAGTCGTCGCTAGTGATCTGGCGGATGCCCTTGATGTGGTCCGTCTGCTTCACGAAGGTCTTGAGCAGCCCGTGGACCTTGACGGCCTTCTGGCCGGTGAGGAAGGTGAGCAGGTCGATGATGTAGGTTCCCACGGAGTGCAGGCCGCCGCCGCCCATCAGGTCGTCACAGCTCCAGTTGTACTTCTTGCCCAGCAGGCTGCCGCCGTGCACCTGCACCTCGCACACTAGTGGCTCGCCCACGTAGCCCTCCTCGATCAGCTGCTTCATGCGCACGAAGGCCGGCAGGAAGCGCAGCACGTTGCCCATGATGCTCATGAGCTTGGGGTAGTAGTGGGCGGCAGAGGTCATGCGGAAGGCGTCCAGCGGCGTGGCAGTGCGGTCGCAGATGACGTTCTTGCCGATGCCTGCAGGTGGGAGGAAGACATTGGTCAGCGGGCGGGACCATGCCCAAGCGCGCATCCCTGGGTCAGGTCTTAAAATATTTCACATTAATAGAAAAAGAAGGCCAGGAGTGGCTCATGCCTGTTGTCCCAGCACTTTGGGAGGCCGAAGCCGGAGGAGGGCTTGAGCCCAGGAGTTGGAGGCCAGCTTGTGTAACATGGTGAGATCCCATCTCTATAAAAATAAAAATAATAATAATAATTGGCTGGGTGTGGTGGGACACACCTGTGTCCCAGCTTCTCAGGAGGCTGAGGTGAAGGAATCACTTGAGCTGGGGAGGTTGAAGCGGCAGTGAGCTGTGTTTCGACCACTGCACTCTAGCCTGGGCAACAGCAAGATTCTGTCTCAAAAATAAAGAAAAGAAAAAGAAGACATTCTATGTATTTCAATATTACTTTAAATATTTATGTTGCATTAGTTAATTTGTTGCTTTTTGTGTGTTTTTGAGGCAGAATCTCACTGTTGCCCAGGCTGCATTGCAGTGGTGCGATCATAGCTCACTGCAGCCTCAAACCTCTGGGCTCAAGCAACCCTCCTGCCTCAGCCTCCTGAGTAGCTAAGACCGTAGGTGCCATCACACCCAGCTAATTGTTTTTACTTTTTTTTGAGATGGAGTCTTGCCCTGTTGCTCAGGCTGGAGCGCAATGGCGTGATCTCAGCTCTTTGTAACCTCCGTCTCCCGGGTTCAAACAATTCTCTAGCTTCAGCTTCCCAAGTAGCTGAGAATACAGGCAACCGCCACCGCACCCAGCTAATTTTTTTATTTTGTTTCACCATGTTGGTCAGGCTGGTCTCAAACGCTTGACCTAGTGATCTACCTGCCTTGGCCTCCCAAAGTGCTGGGATTACAGGCATGAGTCACCCTGCCTGGCCATTTTTTTTTTTTTAAAGAGAAGGGGTCTCTTAAATTTTTTTTAAGAAACAGGGTTCTCCTAATATTGCTCAGGCTGGTCTTGAATTCCTGGTCTTAAGTGACCCCCCTATTCGCTAAGTCCCAAAGTGCTAGGATTACAGGTATCCTGGTCCCAGAAAGCCATGAATTACTTAATTTTAATGTTAAATGTCTGGTATTGATTTAAACAATAAGGTTTATTTTAAGATATTTAAGTAACCTACATTTTAGAAATGTTTGGCAATGTTTACTAAGGCCGTATAAAATGTTTCATTTTATATTTTATACAAATCTATAACATTTTAAACAGAAATAGATTTTGCTTTTATATTATTTAAATACAAAAGATAGTATTAAATTATACAATATAATATTTTTACATATAAAATACATTCCTTTACAATTATCTTACATAATGGTTTGTTATATTTTATATTTAAAATATCATTTTTAGTAAAAATGTATTATTCTTTAAAATGACATAGCGAAAGGAGAAGAGTACTTCTATTTGGGCAGAATCAGAACACATAAGCTTAAATCCTAGCCAAGGTGAGTCTGATTAAGTGTGAAGAATTTCTTAATGATACCCTTTGGAGGTCTAAGCTTTTGGCTAACGTCTGATCCCCTCCACCCTCCACAATTCCCCAAGATTGTATTTTGAGCATTATCGTGCTTGTTTATTTTGCATTCTGGATTAGGGCTGGGCTGGCAGTGGTCACAGAAGTGTTTGTTTCAAGTTGTTCTTTTCCCATAAAGAGCGGATGTTGCCTAAATCTGAGGGGCTGGCAGTGCCTGTTTCCTCCCCGACCCCCATCTGCTTCAGGGTGGAGTGTGTTGCTTTTGGCCAGTGGAGGTCAAGCCAAATAAGAATTAGTCTTACGTGATGCCTGTAATGTGTGTATAAATTACAGGAAGACCAAAATGCCTCTCGGAGCCCTTTTAGGAGACTAAGTAGTTCTGGGTCTGGAGAAAACAAAGGATCAAAGCAAAGGAGAGTGCCAGGGAACGAGAAAGGGATTTATTCCACGGAAGCCAAGAGCCAGGGAAGAAGAAAAACAACTCAGCTGGACCAGGAGAAACAGCCAACTGGAGGGCAAAAAAAAAAAAGATTTACACAGATTTGTTAGCAAGTCAGATACAATAGATGCTAGGCGAAAGACTTGGGTGCTACTGAGTGAAACCCCCCATCCTGGGGCAGTTCTCTGTGGTCGAGGCACGCTCACCCACAGACCCTCTGATGGAGACCTGGGCACTCTAGCCACAGAAGTAGGAGAGAACCCAAGGGAAATGGGGTGATGAGACACACCCCACCCTATCCCACTTGTCTTGACCATGGGCACTCAATTGACAAAATCCACTGACTCTTACAACACACTGACCTAAGATGGGGTTTTGTCAAAATCGAGCAATTGCAGCTGTCTGTTCAGGGCCACAGCCTGGCACATGGCTTTCTCATTTTCCCACTGGAAGAGCTAGCCAAATCCAAACTGGTCAGTGCAGATTGGAGAAAGGAAATACAAACGATGGCTGTCAGTTTCCATGTGCACATCTAGTTCTGGCCCTGAGCAAAAAGCCTACAGAATAATGATCACACCTCCTTGCCTTTTCTTCTCTGTTGGCAGAGCTGGGCTGGTCCCCCTGATGGCCATGAAATAGCAGTGAGAAGCTCATTTAATGCTTCGCAACCAGGCGAGGACTGAAGCTCTGGCAGAGAGACGAGATGCCATTGGTTTGTATCACCGAAAGAGCCACACACCCGTGTAACATTATGTTCTGACAATATGATCTTGTAGGCATAAGGCTCGTGTAACACTGGCTCATGCTACCAGAAACAGATTTATATGTAAATGGAGTGATAGGTCACTGCAAGGACAGGTGACAAATCTGCCTCACACCCGTTGGGTGAAGGCTCTGGCCTCTGCTACAACCTATCTCAAGGCCCCCCAAAGCAGGAACCTGACTGCCATCTCCTCAGTGTGCTCTATTAGTCATGTGAATGGTATTAAGAAAAGTTTTTTAGGCCGGGCTCAGTGGCTCACGCCTGGAATCCCAGCACTTTGGGAGGCTGACGTGGGCGGATCACGAGGTCAGGAGATCGACCTCTTTGCAGCTCCATAGATAAAAAGATTCTGATGAAAGCCCCAGAAAATGTAACATGAACACGACATGATACCCAAAAATGCAACTCCATCCCAAGACTCATGTGTGGATTCCCCAGGGATCTGAGAACAGACATCTCTTTCTTTAGGTGATTTATTAGGTTGGTGCAAAGGTCATTGTGGTTTTGCCATTAAAAGCAATTATGGTGCCCTCTTTTTAATGCTAAAACCACAGTTACTTTTGCACCAACCTAATATGTATGAAACAGTTCCGCATTATACAGTAAGGACCTCGAGGTTAGGGCTGGGTCTTTTAATTGCTTAAGCCTCCATTAATACCCACAGCACCTTGTGGTACATCCAATGTGCAGCAGGAACCCAGCAAGCCCTGTTGCCTGGCCCCACCTCTTTGCCCACAGTCTTTTGCAACATTCACACTTTACAGATGGGTCTCAGCAACATCTTAACACACAGTATCTTCAAAAGTCAAATGAGACTTCTAGGAATTTATCATAAAGAAATAATCCAAAATGCAAGCATGGCTTCTTGCCCAAAGATAGTTCTGACTGCATTATTTATCAAAGCAAAAAACTGGGAACAGAGGCTGGATGCAGTGGCTCACACCCATAATCTCAGAGTTTTGGGAAGATCACTTGAGGACAGGAGTTTGAGACAAGTCTGGGCAACATTGCAAGATCCCACTTCTTAAAAAAAAAAAAAAAAGAGCTAGGCATGGTGATGCATGCCTGTAGTCCCAGCTTCTCGGGAGCCTGAGGTGGTGGATCACTTAAGCCCAGGAGTTTAAAGCTACAGTGAACTATGATTGTGCCACTGCACTCCACCCGAGGTGACAGTAAGACCCTGTCTCAAAACAAAAAACAAAACAACTGGGAACAATGCAAATGCTCAACAGAAAAGGGGTAAGTCAGCAGTCATATAGCCATATAATAGAATATTGTGTAGCCATAGAAAATGATGCTTATGAAGACCTTTCAATGGCAAGTAAGATGATTATGATGTAATGTTAAATGAAAAGGGCTCCATTCATAGATATATATGATCTCAATCCTCTTTAAAATGACAAAAGAAAGAGAAAATCCCTAGGAGGTTAGTTCCGAGGAGTAGGATTGGTTGGATTTGTAGTTTAGGGTTGGCTTTGTTTTCTTCACTACATTTTTCCATATTTTCTCAACTTGTAATTTTATGGTCAGAAAAAAATTCTAATTAAAAAAATCCACAAAGAGACAGGAAGACCTTTGAAGGACAGCACTCACAATGATGGGAAAACGGCCCTCCAAAGTCTAGGTGAGCTGGCAGGTCCAAGTTCTCATGGACCCACCCCAGTTCCTGAGCCAGACAGATGGTAGAAGGCGCTGCTGACCCTGACCCTTGGATGCTTCAGCGGTCCAGGCTCTGTTGCCAGATCTTGCTCCAGTTGCTCAAGACTGCTTTATGATTCTTAGTGAAGGCTGTGGACACTCTCCAAAACGTGCAACTCAGACAGATGCACAAAACTCTGCCCCAACCTGAAGCCCATGCACGGATCCCCTCCGGTTCTGAGGCCCAGGCATCATCATACATTGTATGATAACTTCTTGAAGGCTTTGGGACATACTGTTAAAAATAAGATAATGCTTCTAGTTCTAAAAGGAACCCAAAATGTAGAGCCAGCAGACCCTTCACAAACTGCTGAGCGAAGTTTGTTTTCTCTGCATTCTGGACAGTCTTCCCTTACCCGACCTCTCTCAAGGGGCTTCTGCAAAGCCCACTCTGGGACCTCCAATATCCTCGGATTCTTTTCCCAGCTTTTTCCCACCCCTATCAAAAGCTTCTTGCTAATGAAGCACAATTCTAAGTATAGTCATCAGACACTTGTGTATGTGTGCATGTGTGTGTGTAGGTGGATTAGTGTGGCACAGAGCATTCCCCTCATCCCTAAAATCACATGCAATGTAAAGGGAACTTGTATTGT